GTAATTCCAAAATTCAAATCTCAAAGTATCTATAATGAACATAGAAATTTTCAAAAAAAAATTCTACACACCTGTAAATCTCTGGATGTATGAAACGTAATGTTTGAAACTTACTATTTCTTGGTGTAGGCACCTGATATCTTTATATGTATCAGTTTTAATATTGTCCAAAATTGTTTCAAAATGTAAATTTAAACGCCTTTCCATTTCTATCTAAACGCTATTCCATTTTGGCAGATTGGAGCGGGGTAACCTTATAAATATGTACAGATTTTCATTTATATTTTGATAAGAGAGGTTATAGTATGAATTTGAAAAAAATGTTTAGGTAGAGATTTTAGAGATTTTCCCACACTGTTTTAGAACTCATTGACCTGAACAATTGAATATCAAATAGAGTAGAAACAACTTTTTTAAATGGAAATCCTCATATTTTTACATATTTCAAAAACCGCTTTCTTACGATTATAAGTGATAGAGATAGATAGTGATATATCTATCTAGATATTATAAGAGAGAGAGAGATTATAATATGTATTATAATAAGAGAGAAAAGGGTGCCATAAGCGTAATAAAAAGTTTAAGTTGGGTTTGCTTCCCCATTTCATTCATTCATTTCCTTATTTTAAATCCTAAAAACTTTTTTATAAAGCTTTTTTTTATACCTAATTATTATTATTATAAACCCTTCAACTGAATGTAAAAACATAAACCAAAAAATTGTGCCCTAGGGCACGATGTGAATAAGACAGACATTTTAACAGGCAAGAAGATAAGTATATTCCAATTACAACAAAATTTTCAGAATCAGAGAATGTTGGATTATCCAAAGGAATCATAGGCGCCGCCAGAGGGGGGGGTAAGAGGGAGCAGTTACAAATGGCCAGTGATATACAAGATGTGTTGGTACATCAAACTGGATTGCTGTAGGAAAAAAGGCACGTTTAGAGGCAGTTTTTTCCGAAAGGATACATTTCTGGAAACCTATTTTACGATTTTCAGTTTAAGGAACTAGACAAAATAGAAAACGCAACGTTAACAGCACATTTTATCCAAATGTGGAATCAAACTGCCAATGAGACTTTTTTTCCTTTAGTACCAATATATCAGCAAGACTACAAACTAAATTATCAACAACAATTGAATCATTTTATCATTTTTATTAACATTTTTCAAAATATCTTTTCTGGATTGCTTCAACATGATATACATAGTAGGGGTGCTAGGCAGATAATACGGAAATCTTAAAGAGGCTATAAAAAAGGTAATTTAGAATCAATTCAATAAGGGATATTCGTAATTTTTGATTTCTTGTTTCTGAATTTTGTCGGTGATAAATATTAAGTTATAGCTTCAGTCCTCTGTATATTATAATTGTAAATTCGACTTTTTTATCAAATAGCATTTTAATTAAATTAGTTAAAAAAAGTATTCAAATTCTATGTGCAGAAAGAGAACAAAGTTGTGATTTCAAATTTACCATAAAAACAAATAGGTAGTGATGATGTTCCAGTGACATTCAAATCATACAAATTTGCTTCCTTATCCACAAATAATAATTTGTAACACAAAGCTTTTACTTTTAAACAAAAATTTCACTATCAATTAAATTGTTAAAAAAAGGTTATACCTAAATAAAAAAGTTTGCCAATTCATAGCTTATTTTTTTACTGTTAATACATAATCAATGATAATATGCAGAAATCTATAAGAAATTTAAAATGCGCGCTTTGAGGGATACTATTTTTTACTCAATGACTATTTTTTTCTAAACGACCTCTAATTTCAGTATATTCTTAACACCCCGGATAATCGGTGAGTATGAAAGAGGGAACAGTTGTTAAAGCTTTAAATTATTTTAAATCATTAGGTTAAGAAGGTCTTCTGGAAACTTTTTTTCAGAATACAGGAAAAAAGTTACTAAGTTAATTGAAAATAATTATAAAAATTTTCCTAAAATCTTATCTAATGTTTTTCTAGATTATCTATGAAGTTACATATTTTAGCATACCTTTATACCTAGATTTTGGTATCAAAGATTATATTCTTCAATTGATAAGATTTTTAGGAATATTTTCAAAATTAATTTGATTAGAATTTAAAAAAAATATATGATTTCAATAAGGACATTTTTTTTACTTCGTCTTTTGTGTTTTTTCACTTTCTAGAAATTAATTTTTAATCGATTTCGCTAAAAGCCCAAAAAAGTATTATTATATTTTCCTAAAAAACAAACAATAATACTATGATAAAATATCATTTTTTTATTACTTTTATATCCAATATGTATACCGTGTATATTATACCCAGATCAGTCGTCATTATCTTTATTTTAGTAGATCTTTTACAACTAAAGAAAAACTGTGTATAAATGGCAATAATTGCCAATAAGACACTGGTGCAAAATTACATGTTATATATTATGATTATTACGTATGTTGAAATATTAAAGGAGAAAAAGACGATCTGAAATAGTAGACTTCATGGAATTATGCTGAAACATTAAAATTGAAGAATATCTGCAGTCAATTTAGAAACGTGACGTTTAACTGCATCATTAATTTCTCTGAAAAAGCAGTTACTTTAGTCAAACACAACATTACAATTTGACCAAGGAACAAGTCCAACTTCTTGTGAAAATAGAGTCAAATATTAAATTGAAATCATTCTGAATTCACAATTCTCTTAATGCAATCTGTAATTTTACGTTCTTTAGGATTAAAGACAAAAACACATATTTTCGGTAACTTAAAATATTATTCTACACCTATTTAAAGCATTTACCAACACTATGGTTATTTTATACCACAATAATTTCAATTACCTATATGATATTAATATGATTATGATTTAATGGTATTTTATTTCTGTAATATTTTTTAATATTTTGAGAATAGAGCACAAACATTTTCCTTCTACTACACAAACTGAAAATATAAAATTTTGACAATTTTTAATTATTACAGGATATCCAGAAAATTATAATCAAAGAAAGTAGGAAGTCATAATAAATCAAAAATAAAAAAATATTTTAAAAACAAGCTATTATTAAAATGCACTAAGAAGAAAAAAATAAACCAAGGAGTTCATAATGTTGTGTAAACCCTAAATCCGCAAAACAATTGAATATACCTGTTCTATAGGTACAGGGTGATTCACTTTTTATGATTAGGACTTTAACCACAGATAGATCTCGTCAAAGTAACATCATATTGAAGTATACACTTTTTCTTCCAAAGGCGGTTTCCTTTTAGAGATACAAACTCTTGAAAAAACAGTTTTTTGGTTATTTGTTCTTTCTTAAATTATGAAAGCCATTTTATTTTATACTTAGGATGAATGAAAAGCTCTATCCATTTTACAAGTTAATGTGAAAATAGATCAATCACAGGCGTTTTTAAGGGCTCTGATAACGCCTATTTTTAATATAATTTTTCAAAATAAATATATTTTTTTTACATTGCGGTTTATTCTACAGCAAAAAGGTTATATTTTTAAATGAAATGCTTGGTTTTTGAGAAAAATGGCTTTTTATGTATTCATATATGAAATCAGGGGCCGGGTCTAGGGAGGGGGTTACGGAGGCTGTAGTCCCGGGTCTCACGAGATCGTGAGGGCCTCGGCAATATCCGACAACTTTTTTTTTTAGAATCAAACCAAAAAGTGTTTAGGTTTTGAAACTATATATACCAGTTGCTAATTACGTGACCTACTTTTTAGAATCAAACAAAAACCTATTTAGGTTTTGAAATTTAATATCATTTTTTTTTGTAATTTAGAGAGGGCCTGCATAGAGCTTGTAGCCCCGGGCCTCACCATAGGTTAATGCTGCCCTGTGTGAATGGTTAAATTTTTCAAACAAAGAAGATTTAACTACTTTACATGTTTAGCTATCAAAATTAAATGTATATGCAAAGTTTCGTGTCCGTGCTACTAACCGTTGAGGAGTGTCCTCGTGAGGGGACAATCCTCTGGCTGCAGTATCAGGTTATTTCTATCATATTAGTGTATTGTCATCAGAACTGAACAAGCATGCAAAATTTCAAAGTCGTAAGTTTAGAGGAAGTGCTTCAAAGACTTGTAAAATTTGAACTAAACATACATACTAAAAACTCATTTTAGTATATTGTCTGTCATCAGAACTCAATTTATTTAATATTTTGCTATAACTGGGTCTTTGGATTAAGCGATTTTTTTTTTTAATTTGGTACACTTACAGCAATGTAACAAATTATCAAAAAATTTACCAGAAAATTTATCACAATATTTTTGTCCGCCACTTTCCAAAAAATTAAACAACTTATACAGAGATCCAGAATGATTGAAGTGTTTGGAGATCACAGCCTGTGCCTATCTCTGTCAATAATACAGATTTTTATATGCTAAAGATGTTGTTAGAAATAGGCTGCGTTCTCCAAACGCTTCAATCATTCAGGATCTCTCTGTATATGAAGATCATTATTATTTAAAATCTCGCAAAATGATTATCTTCTTCCGAATTTATAAAACTATAACGGTTTCTGAGAAATAAACTCATTTAATACTTTGTGCAACAATATTTTGCTACTATGCTTTTCGTTCAAATTTCGGTAAATTATTTTTTATTTCAACACATTTAAATTTTTGCCTGCCATAGGTACCTTAAATATTATATGCGTTTTATGGTTAACAATTATCATTTGGAACAACCTTTTTGTAAGATATTTTTAATAATTCGTAATATTAATCTACATAATTAATTTTTTGAAAAACCGCAAGTAAATAAGTTATGTATAATTTCCTAATCAATAATCAATAAAACACCATTTTTTTTCTCATAGGTGAAGCTTGTTAGTTATAATAAGTGTATCATATTAAAAATAAATCAACAATGTATTGAAAAAACAAAAAAAGCATTTTATGGCCAATATTTTAATATTTATGATTCATCTTTGGCAAAAAATGTTGTTAAATGACTAAGAGGTAAAACTTTGGAAATAATGTATAAAGGCAGAATTTTTCTACATTTCTTTAATAGGTTCAATATTCAACAAAATAAGGGAATTGTGAAAAACAACTTGTAAAGCTTTTAATAAATATATTCTTCCATGTAAGACAGGAACTAAATGTTGTCTTGGGTCCTGAAAATAAAAAATAAAAATAATACAATCACAGTACCATACGAGTAGTAAAAATATTACCGTCAATATCCTAACTCTTCTGTAGTATGCACTAAAAAGTGATGATAAATTGGAAAGAAATGTAACCAAATATTGTGGATTAAATATATTCTTGCATATGTCCTTTATACAACCCTTGATAACTAATGGAAATTGTAGAATGTACACATAAAATAATTCCCATTCTTCCTAAAATTAAAGTTATTGTTAATAGTAACCTAATTTTATTTTCATTTACATTCTTCTAAAGGTGATCCAAGCATTTTAATTTCCTGTATTAAGTAATATAAAAAACTATCATACAATAATTATTACAATATCCCCCAAGGTTCGAAAGAAGTTTTAATAATTTTTGCTAAGTATTATTTTTATGAAACTATTTTTACGTTACTAAAAACCTTACACAGAAAAAATGTTATATGAATTTATTTGTTTGCTTTTCAGTGTGAGGTGTTTGGCTAGAAAAGAAAATACAATTTTAGAAAAACGTATTTTTTCCCGAAGGAGACCACAATCAAATTAAGGCTATGTTCAGTGAATGGTCGGACTAGTTCGGTCAAACTTCTTTAGTCAAACAATTCGCTGAACGGCCTTTAATAACTGTATTAAAACCTGCCTGATATTCTCAATCAGCTGATTGGGCTGACCAACAAAACATTTGTCCGCTGAACGTCTTTCACCGGTCTGGTCATTGGCTGAACACAGCCTAAATTAATTGGTCTTTTATTTCATTATATGAATAATATATACTTTGCATATGAATATATACTTTGCATGTGAAAAAATCTGAGAATGTTCTCATAATAAAGCTCTGTTTCTATTTTCAAAACATCTGCCATGGTTCAACTGAAATATCATAAGCATATTCATTTTAAACACAAAATACTACATAAAAGTATTGTCATCTTATAGATTTGTTAAAAAAGGAGATCCTCACAGAAGTATATTCGGACGAGCACTTTTTTGCTTCTATACTGTCAACTTTTTTCACATTTTAATTACTGTAAAATTCATACGCCGATGATACGCAATTATATTGTACTTTTCTCTTACTCAAGAAAATATGTTGGTTGGTATGAATTCTATTATAGTGATTTAAATACCACTCTCCATGTCTCAAATTTGCATAAACTAGTCTTAAGTAAATAAAAAATGAATAGCCCAATAATGATAATCTTAGGTTTAGTAATCATGTGTGTAATTAGTACAAAAATCATATAATAAACACAATATTGTACGTGCGGAAGCAGTTTCTCAACAATATCAAATTATTGCCATGTGATTCGTTAATTCTGTCTTCTTCGTAGGCCCTCGGGAAAACTTGGGAAACCAGATTCATCGTGGTGACAGCTGGAGTCAATGGCCGGATGATTCTAATAGATGAATATATTCTATTTTATTTTTTTCTTTGATTTAATTTCTTTTCATTTTAGTTATCTCATTTTTCTCTATAAAGAGCTATTTGTTTTTTCTTTTTTTTTATTCGTTTCTGGTTTTTTCTTTTTTTTCCTCTGCTAAGTTTTTCTTTTATTGTTCTTAATTATATTTTTCTTCTTTCTTTTTTTTTTATTGTCCGAAGGCTCTTTTATTGCGGATCATCGGAACGGATTACGAATTAAATAAAGTTGTTAGCATACTGTAGTGTTATGTAGCTCGCATGAACGATAAAATATACAAACGCCCTTCCGAAAATACAAAATAGTTGCATTAGATATTCTTTTAACTTGCATAAATATGTCATCTGAAGCTGCTCTTAATAGCTTAATTTAAATGAAAGATTAATATTTCCATATGCCATGTTTGATTTTTAAAATAATACATACAATTTTACCCTCCTATCTGTACAACAAACTTATTAGAGACAGTGACATCTTTGTCTACTTAAAATAAGGAGATGTATACTATGCCTAAATACAGGATTCTGCAGTTTGAAAGAGGTTTTGTTTATAAAGCCTGTAAAATTTGCAATGATATTCCCACTCATATATCAAGTATCGCTCAAATCTACAAGCATTTCGAAAACTAGTCAAAAGATGGATATTTTCTAAACGTTCATTATCATATAAATTGTGCACAATACCTAGTCTTAATTGTCCATCCATATTGGCTATACTGAATCTATTAGTTCCACAGTTAGAAAATTTTCTACAAATACGAACATTTAATCTGGAGAAAGTGGGAACGAACATTTAATCTGGAGAAAGTGGGAACGAACTTGTTACACAATTCTCCTTTAAATTTTATGGGTAAAATTAAATAATAAATACTTTTACTAAAATTGGCATTTTAGTTTGCAATCTTAATTATCTTAAATCATATTTTAAATATTAGTTTTATTACTTTCTGTTAGATTGTCTTTTTTTATTATTGCTCCTTTATTTTCAACATTGTATGTTATTTTATTTCCATTCTGCACTCTCATATTGTAATTAGGTGAAAACCTGTAGAACTGACTCTTTTGGCACAGCAGTTTATTTGACTAATTTTTAAATTTTGTTCGCAAGTAGCAAAACACCCAAATAAACAAAACTCATTAAAGGACTAGAAGGTAATTATACTCACTGGTTGATTTAATACAGAAAAATCAACTTCTGTAACATCAGGATGAGCAGGATATATACCTTTCAATACCCTTTTTTCAAATTCTTTCAACAAAACTGACAACCTGGCACAGTTGTAAAAGATGAATGCAGCCCCTACAAAACAAAAATAAAAACAATCTAACATCAGTTACAGTTTTTCATAACTTTTTTTAAATAATTTGACTAGAGAGAAAATAATAATAACACTTTCACAAAAACTTAAATTTATATCTATGACATCAATTTGAACTGATTTATGGGAAAGTGGCACCACTATTTATAGACAAAAGTTTATTCTTTACAAAAAAACAAATAAGTAACATATTCCAAATACCTAATAATACTTTATAGTAATTCTATCATTCGTAGCTAATGATTTTTCTTTAATAATTTCTAATGGCAACAAACTTATGAAAATAAAATTTAATCGTAACTAAAAACAATCCGATTACTTGGAAATCAAAGTATATAAAAAAAGTAACCTGAAACTTCATGTTATATTTTTTATTATTGTTCTATATTAGATAAAAAACATGTATGTATTATTTTCTTTCACTAAAAATTTAAAAAATTAAATATTTACCTCTATTTGCTGTACGGAGATCATTTAATGTCACCTTGAGAGATTTACTGGGTTTATTGGATAACATTTCTATCGTTACACAAGCTCGTCCCAACTTTTTCATCATTTTTATAAAATAATCTTCTCTTGGTGTATTTTTTATCACCTGAACTTTATATCGATGTTCGGCCATAAGACGCATATCCAATGTTCTTTTTCTTAAAAACAGATTCCATAAATGTCGATGCTACAAGCCAAAATATACATGTACAATAATGAGAGGCAAACCCTGTCATTAAAATAAAGCAAATTAAGTATAAAAACTTGCGCCAGGGTGTAAGTATCCGTCAGTGATAATATCTATGTCTAATAATTCATAACAGACTAGAGGTAGAGTATTGCAATATTGCAAAGGCATTATCAACATAGGTATATTGTTCGTTGTAAATATGTGTTGTTTATATTTAACTATCTAAATTTAATGCTTGGTAGCTATACCTCTCACAAAGAATAAATTATAAATTCTAAAGTGGCCAACCACAAAATTTAGATTACTTACTCAAATAACTCTTGAGCTGTAGTTTTACTATCCTTTATTCCTTTTCCATTAAGCACTGGTCCACATAATATAGACTTCTGATTCTTATTTGCTGAAGTCAATGTAAGTATAACTTGAGGACCTAACTCATTTTTATTTTTCGTAGTAAATATAACAAAATTTGATGACACATCCCTTAATTCTAACATTCTTAAGGTGCTTAAATCTATTTCTGAGAACTTTATATTCTCTGCATCATGATCACAAGTTATAACTATTTTATTTTCAAAAATATCACTTGAACCGTATGTATCATTTTTATATAATACATCCATTATTACTGACTTATACAAAGATGAGGATCTTTGGAAATATAAATGTACATCATTGTCATTTATAGTAATTCTTTCAATATTCATTTGATAACTTTTACATTCCTTTTTTAATTCATCAATTTGTGCACTTAATTCATCATCTCTTCTAATATATTGGAATATATTAGCAATATTAGTTTGTCCTATTTCATTTCTATGTATTAGATGATACCAATTTTTAATATTCAGTGGAAAACTAATTTCGCCCAATTGATCCAATTTTCTTGAATGTTTTCTGATGATAGTGGCATCGTTTTCTTTAAGTCCAGTTAAAAATTCTAACAAATTGGTAACATATTTTTCTAAAATAGAAACATTCGCCATCATAATATGATATTATAACCTACAAATTTAATTAGTGTCACGGTTGACAGTAATGAAGTATTGTTAAATTATACCAACGATTAGACAAGAAATGTACTAGAAATGAAAGTATACAAAAAAACATTAAGCTTTGCCTGTTTAGCGTTTTCCATTGGTCAGTTCTTATACAAGGTATTCCACAAATAAATGTAAAAATTTTTACTGCACAACTCATCGAAAGATTGTTTACTATTTTTTTAAACTTAATTTTTAAGATTGCCAAAAATTTAAAATTTTTATTAACCACAAAAATTTTGATAGTGAATCATTCCACAAAACATTTGCATACATTGATAGAGTTATTTTTGGATACAAATATAGGACAAAAATGTGTTTATATTTTTCAATTCAACTAAAATTTTATGTAACGTTTTATGTAAACTAAAAATAGGTTTCATGTCATTTACTCAAAACTTTAATTTTATGATAATTTTAATAGAATTAGTTAACAATACAAAACATTTCAATAAATCTCAGGCGTAGAAATTCTGTTTAAAAAAAGGGGCACCGACTACACCCAAGGATTTTATACAAAATCCTTGGACTACACCCGTCTACGCCACTTGTGGTTGCAATGGATACGCAATTTAATTTCGTTATTACTTGCTATTTTTTAGATATCAAAAAAAAACTGTAAAAAAAATGGATTCTACTTCCTGTATGTCTTTATTGTGTTCGAAATCAAGTCCTCTTTCAACTATTAAAGTTAGTATGTAAGCCTAAAAACTATTTTTTATTCATTTGTACCACAGATTTGTACCCAATCCCCAATCTAGGGTAGGTATAAGAGAGCGCATTCGATTTAATTGGTCTACCCGCTTATAAACAGTTTGGAAAAACTTCTCCCAATGTTTGTTTAGTACAGGACTAAACAAAGTTCTAATCTAATCCTTTCTGAATAGGGAAGAAGTAATTTAAATTCACTCTCTTTCATCCGAACACGCAATCCACCAATCCAGTGCTGCCATCGACATTCAGATTTGAGTTGAGATGTCAACGTCAACGTTGTTAACTAACTAATCAAAACTAAATCCAAATGCAAAAATGTCGTGACAGTAGTTGTTTGAACGTGGTTGTTGTCGGAGTTTTTGAATTGCTGTACTCGGAGAAATTGAAGGTGCCAAAATGTTACTAAAATGTTTATATTTAATAACATATTTAGTACTTCTCACAAATTTAGTTAATGCTCAGTTATTAGAAGGTATTTATTGTGGAAAAGAAAATTGTTATGATGTGTTGGAAGTGACCAGAGAGGCCACAAAAAATGAAATATCAAGAAATTACAGAAAATTGGCACGCCAATATCATCCTGATTTACACAGGACTGCCGAGGCAAAAGAAATAGCGGAGGAACAATTCAAGAAAATTGCAAATGCATATGAAATATTGAAAGATGAAGAATCTCGATCAGATTACGATTATATGTTAGATAATCCAGATGAGTACTATGCTCATTATTATAGATATTACAGAAGAAGAGTAGCACCAAAGGTAGATGTAAGGATAGTTTTAATTGTAACTATTTCTGTAATATCCGCTGTACAATATTATAGCGGATGGCAGAGATATGACACTGCTATAAAATATTTTGCTACTGTCCCAAAATATAGGAATAAAGCACTTGATATAGCTAAACAAGATGGACTTTTATCAGGCGATAAGAAAATTAAAGGGAAAAGTAAAGTGTCAAAAGAAGAAACAGAATGTATTATTAAAAAGGTAATAGAAGACAAAATGGACATTAAAGGTGCATATGCTAAACCTAAAATAACAGACATTCTCTGGATCCAGTTAGTAATTTTTCCTTATACCATTGTAAAATATATTTGCTGGTATCTATCTTGGTTCTGGAGGCACACTTTATTAAAACAGCCATATAATGAGGAGGAAAAACTTTACATTATAAGAAAATATTTAAAGATGGGCCAACATCAGTTTGATAGTCAGGAAGATGAAAAAATACAAGAATATTTAGATAGGGAGTTGTGGATAAGAGAGAATTTTGATGAGTGGTTTAAAAAAGAAGAGGAGAATGCCAAAAGGTTATTAGCAGAAAATAATAGATATAAACAATACCGCCGGTACATAAAAAATCATGGGGTGGGACGGATGACATTTGACGATTCTTAAATTTTTATAATTCATTTTATAATTTTATTTTCAACATGACACAAGACTACTGCATTCCTACATCTTAGTATTATTTAGATATGCAATATTGCAGAGAGGAAATTAAAAACAAAAAAAAAATCATTTTCTCATTCAAAGTACTTACTAAATTAATGTCTTTCTTTTTCTGCATTAATTTATTTCTATCTTTTTGTGCAGTATACATAAAAAAATTATATTTTTTTAAATCCAAGGAAGTAGAAAAAGTGTGGTTCAATAAATATCTACTATTTAACCTCTATTAATATTTTTATGTTAAATAATAAATGGTTTTGTGAAAGTTGTCAAATACTCTTAAATTTCAATTTTTATATTAAGAAAATTCACAATATAATTTTTTCAGCAGGAAATCCATTTTTTTTTTCTTTCAAAGAGAAAGTTCATCAATTGTTTCAATTTCACATTTACGTCAAATGATTTACTTTATTAAACCGCGACTAGCCAATGCTGTACACCACAAACATTTATTAGAATAACTGTTCTTGTTTTTTTTACAAAGAGAAATCAATTTAATTTCTGTGTTGTATAATTATTAACTTTTAACTCTGTTGTAAACTGCTATATTCCATATTACAAATCTATTTCATATTTGAAATAAATCGTGTTAAAATATTTGTTGTCTGTTGTTATTTATTTATTAAAGAAGAGATTTTAGTTTTGCTTTTTATTTGTTATATTATTCCTACATAATTCGAGGCAGATTATCAAAAATATAGGCATAACAGTTTTTTTTTTCATATTGTTTTATTTGATATATTCTTATTAGGTACACAGTTTCAGACAGATTTTCTGATTTTTTTTTTACTTTCCTACTCTTGAAATTTTTTATTTCCTAATATGAATGTTTAGATTTGATCCAGAACACCATGATTAAATTTTAATTCATTGCTTTTACGGATTATATTTTTAAATACAGACCGAAGTGCCAATGATTTTTTTAAGGGTATTTTTTTGTGGTTATTAGGGATTTTTTTGAAAATCGCTATAATGGAGGCTAAAATTTTATTTGTTACTGTTAAAAAAATTCAGTGTACCTTGAAGTACTCAAAAATAAGAGTAAAATTGAGAAATGTTTTAAAAGGCACGATAATTAAAATAAGGATCACTTTTGTATGTTCATATTAACTGATAATATCGAAGTACTCTGTATAAAAATAAAGAAATAATTTTCTTTGTTTTCTCTTTCAGTTAGTTACCATAATTTTTTACCTTTTTTGTTTACCATTTTCAAGTAATTATAAGGCGTAATAATATAATATATACTTATATAATTTAAAGTAACAAATATTAGCTTTGTTTTTGAAACACTACTTATCTTTAGTAGAAATGACAAGTAAAGCCTAATGACAGAGCTTTGACATGAATATAGTTACAGAAGTGTCCGATGCGATATAGCATAAATTATACCATCTATTGAAAATCCCTCAAAATTAATTCACAATCCTAGCAATATACAGTATGTCCACGGTTAGAGGGGAAAAAAGGGAAAATATTTCTATTTTATTTTACAAGAAAAAAGCATTCTTGATTAAAATTTTTGTTTCTCTTTAAAATGTGGAGAACTTTTATCTTGCATGTACATGGTGATCAGAAAACCGGTAAATATAAAAATCGTTCAAGAATAAACTGCCTTTGTTTTTAACAATACAGAAATATGTTGTTATGGAAAGTTGCTTAGAATTGAAATCTATATTATAATTTCAATTTGTGTATGAATCGGCCTATTTTGATAGAAACAGACAATCGAACATTTTTATTGTGTATTTTACAAGAAAAAGGCATTCTTGATAAAAATATTTGTAAATACTCTAAACTAAAACAGTACTTTCTAAACTTTCTTAGATAAATAAAAGAGAAAACTTTGCTTTTTTGCTACAGGGTAAACACTGAACCACGTATGGCATGCACCGAACTTCAATGGCAAATTCTGAGCCATACATTGAAAAACATTTCCCATAAATTTAACAATTTTTTTCATTTACTTTAAATGAGTGTCTACAATAAATGAAAGACAATTGTCAGATTGTAAACATGAATACATCAGTTCATCTGAGTAATAAAACAGATTAAAAAAATAAAAATATAACATAAAAATATATTACATGGCATTCCTCTTTCTATGCTGTTGTAAGAATCCTTTCTTCTTATGTTTCTGAAAAAAAAAGAAATGCTATCAAAATTACAATTTGATTACCATTTGCAGTACCATCCAACGGGTTTAAGTTGATAAAAAATAATAGTTTTCTTGAAATTAAGCCTCAATTACTTACATTATTTTTTTGAAAAAATAATGTAGATTCTTTAGACAACCTTTTGTATGATAAGCCAGATTAACTTTTTTTGTGTCTGCATTATCTGCATTATTTTTTATTTGAAATGTGGTCGACTTTACCCCTCATTGTGGGGTAAAGTCGATCACTTAGAAACATCGAAAATCGACTTTGCCTGTGATGGGTGAAGTCGATCACGAAATATTAAAAAAATATATTTTATGGAAAAAAAACTTTAGAAGTATAAAAATATCCTTTATTATAAGTCTTACACAACCTTTAGTTTATAGGTCAAATAAAATAAAAAACATTCTCAGGGATAATATTAATGAAAATAAGAACTTTCTTTTAAACTTAACTAAAAGGAATAACAAAAACTGGATAAAAGTATGATTAATAATTAACAGTTGACTATTGAAGAAGAATATCCACGTCCATCACTCTTTTCCCCATGCCGTAGTTTACTCCCGTATTGGCCTCGTTGACATGACAACCGCCGCAAACAACGCTTCAAAGAGAAGCAGAGTACAGACTGATTTCGATCTGCGTCACTTACATATACTATACGTTGTATGGTACGAGGTTGATGTTCGCGTTCAACGAAGGCAATTTTTTTTTAGAAGGCGTTCACCAAGCTATTATTCTGTTTATTTCTGCATATTACAAACACAATACATTTTGAATATAGAATTATACCCAAGTTATAAAATTTATATAAAATTAAAAATAATTTTAAATTGTACAACCAAACAGAAATTTTAGGTGAAGCGGTGCGTCACCTGACGAGCCACCACTGTTCTACACCCTTTGGTTTGACATACTGAGATTTTTTTTTAATATTAATTTAGGTAGAAAAACTGTAAATTGCAGAAGTACGAAATTGTTCATTTCTCAATATTAATTTAGAAAAAATTAAATGAATAAGAAATAAATAAAATACAAGCAGTCCCCGAGTTACTTTGTTTCGACTTAAGTCATTTGAAGTTGTGCGAACAATATTTTAACACCAGTCCTCAATTAAATGTCAATGATTTCGAGATATGTTATGGGCTATTTCACTTGTGCGGTCATCGGTGTTGCAAGCCTTTGGATATTTACAGAATGACATGAATATTTTGAAGGAACATGATCCAAATTTTGAAAGAAATTGTTAATAACAAAATTATTACTTCCCGTCAGTGTTATGGAGAAATGTATGGAAACAGCAAAAAGAAATGAAGCACACTCGAATTGATAAATTTTTTAATCCAATGGTTTAGTTTTTATTATGGTTCTTTCTATGTTTTCATTTGTGCAATAAATATGTACCAAATACATGGTTTGTTTTATAAATAAAGTATGATTATTTAATATTAATATGTAGTTTTTTACATTATATGTTCTGACAGAACCTAACTCCTTCACTTTATATAGAAGTGGATGAAAAAAGTTAGTCGACTTACATCGGTTCGATTTACATGAAAATCAATGTACGTTATTTCGCCGAAATGTGAACTACTTTCCGTTTTCATAGTGTTAAACACGTCGATTTCGTGCCAAAAATGAGTATCTGCAGACAATTTTACTGCACTAATTTATTCAAAAGAAATCTGCAGTTATAGCACACATAATCGACCATGCGACCATGCTCTGTCGCAAACAACAGGCAAAGGTTGGTTTACATGCTTCAAAAATAATGATTTTGATGTTGAAGATAAAAAACTCTACAACGCACAAAAACAGTTTGAAGACAAAGGCCACGGTCAAACTAGTATGTCTGCAGACATGGTAAATGCGGCAATTGAAAGAGGAGGCTTCACGCTACACAACTGTCGATTGTATGACTGGCGCATACGTAGTAACATCAGTCTCATTATTTTATAGCCACATCACGTACATTGAACCACTGGTTTTATAAACAAGGCTTGTCACACTATATGTACAGGATGAAAATTTAGTGCAATATTGTGGAACGTTTTCACACTATTACATCCGGAGGAATTCTCAAAATTATAAAAAAATCTGTGCAATAATTTGCTAAAACTTCCTTAAATTAGATCTGACATATTTCAACTAATTATCTACTACTGTTTTTAGAAATATTTTAGTAACCATTTTTTCCTTATGGACGCCATACTTATTGGATATGAATAAATAAAAAAAAATTGTGAGCATCAAAATTCATAAAATATCGATCTATTCTGGAATTCGTAATTTTCATTTTTTCATTTAACCTTATGGAAATCCAATATATTTAGCAATGCAAGTGCACAATATTTTAAATATTACTTGAAATATTTTACATCCGATTTCTGGACAAATTTCAATATGTCGTGCAACTTTTTTAAAATTTGAGTTACTCTATATTAGATAACAATATTCCTGTAGTCTCTATCTAAGAAAATTATGTTTGTCATCTTACCTCCCATTGCTCCATACCAATACAAGTTATCACTTGTGTGTTAATACCACCCCCATCTCTAAATTGCTTCAAATGTCTTTCCGTTATTGGTTTAACTATTGGCTTTCCATCTCTATCTGAAAAGTATAAAAATACAAATATTCGAAATAAATATTTTGTTCTTTTAGTTGCAGCATGAATGAAGGATTAATAAATTAGAGAATTAAAATGCAAAACAATACCTAATTTAAAAGATGAAAGATTCAGTAATTACTTATCAATGAATGTTTTTAAAACATTTTTTTAAATTAAAAATGAAAAACTGAATAGTAAACACAAGCATATATGGTATTTTTTCTTACTTAAATCCAATTGAGCTTTTCCATCCCGAACTAAAAATGCAAAATAAAACATATTTTCAACAGTATTAGCAAAACTGTCTGTGTCAATAATATAATCATAGTAACTGATGGGTTCTTCACCATTTTCCATATACTTTTCAGTTAAAACATCATGCAAGAGTTTGACAATTTCCTCTATTCCTTTCTCTTCTTTATCTAAACTGGTAACTCTTTCGGGCTCTTTCTTTTGAAGTTTTTCTTTTGGAGCTTTTACTCTTTCTTTCTTAGGCTTTGGTTCAGGCACTTTATTGAGGTCATATGTTCCATACACATAATTGTAGTCAGGTACTTGAGGTATTATATTACGGGCATCTTCTAAGAGTTTCAATAGATTATCTGGTTCAAATTCTTCACTGTCTTCTGCTTTAATACGTTGAATCTGTAAAAATGACACAACTTATACCTAAGGAATACTTAAGCATTTTATTGTATTAGCCAGTTTTGTCATAACTTTGTAAATAGTATCATTAAGTTTTAAGAAACTATCATCTTTAACAAAATACACTGCTTCATTATCACTATTTCTTTATCTCGTCAATACATTCCCCAGTAGCACAAGATATGGGCCTAATATTGGCATCATATAGGAAATATATTGAAATTAGGCCAAATATTTGGAAAATTTAACCAATACTGGTAATAATAATGGTACATAGATTCTTAAGACAAATTTAGGGGACCCGTATATTTTCTTTTTGCCAACTGGTCCCCTCTTTCGGAGTTACAGACCACTGAAATCTGCCCCTAAGAAGTTTTTTTTATATCTCAATACTATGTTGTACAAGAATCACTAAATTTGGTACAAAAGGGTTTTATAACATGTGGAATCTCACAATGTTAAGCTTTTTGGCGAGAAACCCCCTTAAGACACTTTTTCGTGGCACCCCTTGTCTTTGGAACCAGAAAAATTTGGTCGCAAATTTGATTTTTTTTTTTAAATTATTAGTTAGCTAGAAAGCCATTGAATTTAGAAACTTTTTTGTCTCTTGACATTTGTTTCCTAAAACGTAATGTTTTTAAGGAAAATGGTGAATCATGATGCATTCGATCACATTTTGACATTTTTCTCGAAAACATTGCGTTTTACGAAAAAAAGAATAAAGAGACACAAAGCTTCTAAATTTAATGGCTTTCTAGTGGACTGATAATTTTTAAGAAATTTAAATATGTGACCAAATTTTTTTGGCTCCAAAGACAAGGGGGCCCACGAAAAGGTGTTTCAAGGGGGTTCCCCGCTAAGAAACGTAGCACCATCAGATTTCGCATGTCATAAAACCCCTGTGTACCAAATTTAGTGATTCTCGTACAACAGGTTTCTGAGGTATAAAAAAAAAAGACTATTCTTAGGGGCGGACTTCAGGGGGCAGCAACTCCGAAAAAGGAGGCCACTTGGCAAAAATAAAAAATATGGGCCCCCTAAATTTGTCTTAAGAATATGTGACTAAATTTTGTTGCATGAATTTCGGGACACCCTGTATAGTTGCAATATACAATATACAACCAGTAGATTAATGTCGGTCCCAATTGCCTCCTTCATTTAGATGTAGTTACCCAAGTGTTTTTTGTGTATTTTGAGCTGCAGAACACGAATTTTTTGGGTAGAAGTTTGCCCGGATGTCGATAAGTTTTTTATTAACAAAAAAACTTGCAAAATACTGAGAACTTAGTTTTTGGCAAAATAAGTATTTTCTTGTTATTTGACCCATTTTAAGAAGAAAATGTCTCTTGCAATTTTTTTGTTAAACGCATAGTTTTCCAGATAAACGCCGTTAAAAACTCGAAAAATGCAATTTTTGCGATTTTCAATTGTTAATAACTTTTGATTGAATAGGTATTTTGTAATGCTGCTGACGGCGTTTGAAAGTTCATGTTAAATACTACAAGTTATGAGTAATTGCAGTGTGAAAATTTGTTTTTTCCACTGTTATTTGAAGCTATAAACAAACAGCGATTGAGCATTCAGAAGGGTGCGCCGCCATGTATGTAAGAGAGCGGTTGCCTTCTTACAGGCGTTTAATACACGATCTTGACGCGTACTCTTCATTTCTAGACCAAAGAAACGATGAAAACTGAACGAAACATTAACAATTTAATGAAAAATTGCAATATTACAATAATTAAAATTAAAATTTTTTTGACAAATAATGCAAAGATCTGATTTAATTAAGCTATTCATCTTGTAACATGAACGTTAATAATTCTACATCTTCAGTGCAATTTTGAAGCGCGACTACAAACAAATTTTAAAAATAAATGAAAATCGTTTAAAACAAAATGCATTAAAAAGGCGGGGAAAATTTGAAATATCAAAGATATAATGTTTGAATTCTAATTTGCTTTGTAAACATTATTATACGATTTATATGAAAAAAATTAGCGAAATTATATTAGTTTTATTTATAAACGATAATAAAAAGGTTTATACTTGTATTAAAAGTGTAACATCGTATAATTTAGGTGTTTTTATAATTATTATTTTATAAACTTGTATAATAATTTTAATTATTGTAATATTGCAAATTTTCATTAAATTGTTAATGTTTCGTTCAGTTTTCATCGTTTCTTTGGTCTAGAAATGAAGAGTACCTACGCGTCAAGTTCATGTATTAAACGCCTGTAAGAAGGCAACCGCTCTCTACATACATGGCGGCGCACCCTTCTGAACGCTCAATTGCTATTTGTTTATAGCTTTAAATAACAGTGGAAAAAACAAATTTTCACACTGCAATTACTCATAATTTGTAGTATTTAACGTGAACTTTCAAACGCCGTCAGCAGAATTACAAAATACCTATTCAATCAAAAGTTATTAACAATTGAAAATTGCAAAAATTGCATTTTTCGAGTTTCTAACGGCGTTTATCTCGAAAACTATGCATTTAACAAAAAAACTGCAAGTGACATTTTCTTCTTAAAATGGGTCAAATAACAAGAAAATACTTTATTTTGCCAAAAACTAAGTTCTCAGTATTTCGCGAGTTTTTTGTTAAAAAACTTATCGACATTCGGGCAAACTTCTACCCAAAAAATTCGTGTTCTGCAGCTCAAAATACACAAAAAACACTTGGGTAACTCCATCTAAATGAAGGAGGCAATTGGGACCCCCCTGGCTACAGGACTATATTGTCAACTAGTATTACAAAATCTGTTGTTTACAATTTGGCCAATATGTGGAAAAAATGTTTTTCCAATATATTTGTGCTGCTGGAGTTGTTTTACTTACCAACACAATTCATTCATGCCAAATATTGTCACCTCTTTTTCAGAAGCGTGAAAACTGTATTTTTTTTCAAAATCAATCATATTTTTTGCATTAACTGCATAATTTCTTTTTTACAATGTCCGTTCATGTCTGTGATTTGATTTCTTTTATTTATGTAACTACTAATATAGAGAAATCAAATTTTTAAAGTCAAATGCATATTCTATATTGACAATGTACTTTTCCTCATCTCTAACTTTATCTCACTTAATTCTGCAAATTTTTTATTGAATTTTTTTGTATTGTACCTAATTGTGTAGTTAGTCAACAAAAAGATGGCATAAGGCACCAAATAAATATTTGTCTATAGTAGTAGAAGTATGATCTTTTAGATCAGGGATGCACACACAGCTTTTTGTTAATTAGCTGGCACATATTACCACCATAAATACAGCAGTTACGAGCCGCCCCCTATAAACAATAGATAATACATTTTTTTTATTTTCCTTGCAATACAAACTTCAAAATTCGAAAGCTTAGTTGCTTATTTGTGGTAATCGAGAAACGTAATTTTTTTAAAGGATTTGACCATGCCAAATACAAAATGAGATAGATTTCATTTTATTGGATCCTTTTCTGGGGTGACCACGACTGAAGAATTCATCACAAAATCCGCTGATGTATTAAATGATAGCTGTCTGAAGATATGTGGGTATGCTGACAATCTAAACATCTCAATAAGAGACCAAGTCTACTAAATTTTACAAGATACTTCGAGAATGGAAAAGCTATCTGCTTGATCGATGCCATGTTAACAGTCAACTAAAAATCCATTGGAGCTTAATTTTCTTGTTGTTTTATAATGTAAATTAAATATGGATTCATTATTTTCCAAAAAGAGGCAACAGTCCAAAGTATGGAGTTTATACAAGGAGTGAAGTCTCTTATGGGCCGCACATACAAATTCCGATCCCATTTTATGGCCCAAAGCAAAGTTTAAGGCATCGCTGTTGTAGCGCTGATGCACTGAAGAGTCTAGTAACAAAAATGCGTTTACAACGTCAAACGCAATAATAAGTGGAAGGACTTATTTAATATTTATTAGGAAGTTAGTAAAAAATAAAAGTTACGCTTATATAAATAAACATTGTCATTTTACATTTCTTGCACATCTTTTTCATACTCTACTTAATTACATCAGCGCCACCAAATAAAGTGCTCTGTGACTGTGGTCAATACGCCTGCGGGCAGGTTTTAGGCTGTTGTACAATATTTGCTGCATTTGATACCAACAATTTCTTGCCCTTCCAAAATAAAAATAAATTGGTCATTGCAACTGATTATTTTGCCAATTTAGACAATACACATTACACTGAGGGCATCAGTTAGAAAGTTGGTCTAACTGCAAGGCGGATAAATTGAAAAATTAAAAAAAAAATCTTATTTTCATTGTTAGGTCGACAATAGTCCTTTTAAGGAAAAAAGGACTATGCATGGTTTACCTACTTTAGTAGGTATTTTTACTTACAATTCTATTTGTAAATTCACTTTGTTCGTAAGTTGACGTGAACACATCCACAGCTTCTATGCATTTTTTTAAAACACTACTAGCGGATGACAACACTAAACAATCTAATAACGTTTCGTCAGCATACTGCACTCTGTCGTCGATCTTCCACTCTGTGTCTAAATTATTTGCTTCTCGTATAACTTCCCCCAATTCATTTACTGTTTGTAATCCAACATCCTCAGTTTCTTCTGAAAAATTTAGTAGATATAGTAGTTAAATTACAAAATTAATGAAATAACATAAAAGAACAAACTCAGTGTTAACAATTATATTTTAATGTATCAATTATACAGGTATTTATTTTCATTATGAAATTAAGTAGATACTTACGTATTCCTTCAACTTTATTGAGTAAATTTCTATAAGAGAGTTTTCTCTGTTGCGGAGTTCTCCTCATTATTAAATAATCATTCTCTTGGTTTTCATCCTGAAAATAATCCATGCTTCATTGAAGTTATATATTAACCGAATAAACGGTAAAAAAAAGCTTAAATAAACTAATAAAATTATATATTTTATTTCGTACGCAATTGCCGCTAAAATCAAATTGAGGTTTGAGGTTACAATTAGTGATGGGAGATTTCGAGTGAAAAATCGAGTGGTACTCGATTATTGAGATCACTCGAGATATCTCGAGATGTTTACTCCCACCACTCGAGTGATTATTACCCTACGGTTGCACCCCAAAATGTTAGTGCATACTGCAAATAGTCACTGATTGCGTAACCTTTTTTTAGAATAAAACGAAAAAGTGGTTAGGTTTTGAAGTGCGTGAGCTTTTTTTTTTTTTTCAGCGGCGCACAAATATNAGGCCTGGACAGCCTTCGTAGGTGGGCCCCATCCGTCGTCTACCCCGACCGCAAATGCGGCCGGTGTAGGCGCTTTGTGGGACCTCCTTTTGTCCTGGCTGGGCCCCGCCGGCTAGGGCCCTTTCTTCTGGCGCTCGTCTTGCTTCGCCGGCTCGTCTGTGTAAACCCCGGGGATGGTGTCATGTTTATGTGTGGTATGGTTGGGTAGGATAGTGCGGCTATGCAGGGTGGGATGCGCTTTGCTAATGTGGCCCTTAGGCTAGCGCGGTAGGGGAGGGGTAAGGAGGGTATGGGGGTGTGTATGTGTGTGTGTCGTTGTCTTCGTTTCTTGATCCTGGCTGTCTCTGAAACAGAAAAGGTTAGCGGGCAGGGGGGGAGATGTCGTTGGGGTGGTCACCCAGGGGTCAAAAAGTTGGTGTCTAGTTCGGCCAAACTTCTTTAGTCAAACAATTCGCTGAATGGCCTTTAGTAACTGTATTAAAACCTACCCAATATTCCTAATCAGCTGATTGGGTTGAACAACGAAATATTTGTCCGCTGAACGACTTTGACGGTCCGACCTACGACCATTCGCTGAACACAGCCTAGCAAAGGTAATTTCGAAAACAATGTTGCCAATATTAAAAATTAAAATGTAATATTAAATTTATGACCAATGAAATCAATAAGGAAAAATAAGAAAAGAAACAAATAGATAATTAGATATTTTCTACAGGCCACAAACTGTTTTTACATTTTAAGATAACTAAATATATAAATTATATTCTCACGTAAAACTTTTATAAGGGTTTTACTTTACTTACCAATCACGGACACCTTTTCTGATTATTTTTGTTTTTTGTTATTTTGACGCTTGACGCTTGTGTCAAGATAACAATAATCTTCGAGTTTTATTTATATTTTATGCATAACTTTCTGCAATGCATTTGATGAGAGAGGTATAATCTAATCAATTTTATACATTCACTTAATCTAATGAACTGTACAGATTAATTTAATGATTTTAAATATACATTATACTTCGATAATCGTGGAACATATAGGTGTGACCTCTTGGAAGATGCTAATTATGAAAATTTGAAGATACTTAATATATTTATGAAGAAAAGTGTGTCGTCAGTTAACTATGTTTCCTTTTATTCTAAATAGTAGTAAAAGAAAAAAGAGGTTCTTCTGGCGTGTTAGTGTAATTAATGAATTTAAACAAAACTATGTGATTTTCTAGTATCTAATAAAATGTGGATGATATTACTTTCTCTGTGTGTTAGTGTTACGTTAGTGATGTCCCTGGTATTTTGCCTTTGTTGGAGGAAGAAACCCCCAAAGTAAGATTTTCAGATAACTGTGTTGCTTGATACTTAATGTGTGGTTCCTTAGAAATGAATGGCAAGGGCTTGATGGCATGGTTACTCAAAAAAATCCAGATGAAAATGTTAATCACCTTCCTTCTGCTGCATCATGTGTTGTTGATGGCCTAAATGCTAGTGGTGATTCATTAGATGCTAAAAGGTATATGTTATAATTAACACGATGTTTGAATTTAAAACCTGTTTAAATTTTTTTTAATAATACATTCTACATATTCAGTCCTAATAGATCCCCTAATAATAATACCTATTTAAAGTAGTCACTTAAACAGACCAAGATAAAGTGTCTAGAATGTTATATTTATACATGATACAGTTTTAATTTGATTATAATCAAATTATCACGATAATAATTTTCTTCAATGTATTTTAACCTCGTTCTTAACGTTTTTGCATTTATATGGTGAGAATACAACATAGAGTTCTGCATGTTACTGTTTGAATGCCTCTTTAATATAGTCAGTGGCATATACAGGGGGGACAAGGGGCCCACATTTTTTTTACAAAGGCTTTTTTTTAATTACCATTACCTAAGCCAATAACATAACATTAATAATAAACATTATTTTTCATTCTTTAAGTGTTTCCCTAATTACTTAATTATACACATCTAAAAATTAACGAAGAAATGATCTTTCTAAGCCTCAAGTCATGTGAAAATTTTCTTATTATAAATTCCTAGCGATTCTGACCAAGCTCAAGCGGTAAATTTTTTTGACATACCTATTTATTTTTAATTTAGCAAAATTTCTAAAAAGCAATTATGTTAATTATTTTTAATTCTCTCTCTGTTAACTAGGAATATAAAAATGAGAAATGCAGCAACCCTTGGCAGTCATGCATTACTGGCCAATTATTGTGTTATGTCTTCTCTTTCTCTCTCTGTCCTTTTTATCACATTAATGCCTTAGCTCTGTCTATTTTGTAGAACTGATATGTGTCACATCATTGTCGTTATTCGGTGAAGTGCATGTAAAGCGGTTTTTCCTGTGAATTGGAGAAGTATAGTGTGCTTCACTATAACGGAATGGGCTGAATTATTTAAACAAAACATCTGAGCCAAAAGCCGATAGTAGGCAGTATAAATCAAGGTATAAATATATACGAACTAATAATTAATTTAAGGTATTGTGAAAAAACTTAAAAGTATGTGATATACCTAATTGTAATACCTAAATGGCTAACATATTTGCAGAAGAGAGATTGTTTATTTTACAACTACAAACACACAACCATTTGTGCGACGAGTTCCTATCTTTTCCTATAACTCGATTTTAATGAAATACAGGCATGTATGCTAAAATACTTTCAAGAGCTACAAAAATATGAGGCAGTTTTCATAATTCAGACTGTATTATAAAATATGGTGACCAAATTATATAAAATACAGTAACAGAACAAGGAGCCGAGCAATATAAAATACCAATCATATCTACAATACTCAAACTTATGATCAGTTTTGGCTGTATGAATCCGTCAGTTGTTTACAGAAACAGTATGTCTTATTTGTTTATTTTTGCAAATAAAGTAGGTATAACAAATTAATAAAAAAAAGGTCGTATGAATGAAGATACTTATATTCGGTACTTAGTCTTATTGAGATACATTTGCACTGTTTTTGAGATAAATGGCAATCATGAATATAAATAATTACTGTTAGTGTCATAACATCAAATTATATTTATAAATAATTTATAAAGTAACATTTTAGCTTTGTTTTGGTTTACAATTTAACGAGTTCTATAACAATCTTCTCATGCACACTTTGAAAATACTGTTTCGTTCTTTTCAGAACCACTTCTAATAAGATAAATCCTGTTTTTATTTTTATTTCTTTCAGAATCAGTTTGTAATAGTTCTTCAGCTGTTGAAATAATTCTTGCATGAGCGTATGAGAGGAGATACTAGTTCTGAGTTCAGAGTTCTCAATATTTGCACATGCGCTTTTATGATTTGTCCTGGCAAAAGGAGTAGTTTTAAAATTGGGGAGTTATAATTTCGCAATAATATCAATATGGATTTTGTTTTAAAGATAAGAAATTGAAAAAATTTATATAATTTTACATCCTTTCTAAGAAATATTTTAAGAATTTAGGAGCCTACTTTAAACAGTTTATTAAGCGATGTAGAAGTCCTTACAATCGATTTTAATATTGGAAATATTACTGTATCATAAAAAAAATTAAATATCAGCAGAAAACATTGGTGCGTTGACTGACTGGCATTTTCCATTTTGAAAAATTCTGAATTAGTTCAGAATACAGTTTAATGCACATACAGTTCTGCGTCGGTTAGGAATTAGTTTCATACAGTTCTCGATTTTGGAATCAAAACAAAGCTTTTATTATTCAAATAGGTTCTGCCTAGTCTCTTTTGCAACTTGAACTTGAAATAAACCATATCACCTCATTAATTTTAGAGTAACGATGATGGGAACTTTTTTAAATTACCTTACCTACTTTGTGACACCAACAAAATACGGCGATAAGTGTAACTTATGATAATCCCCATACAAATAAATACACTCTTAATAAGGTTTTCTCTACTACTACTTACTTACAATATTCACTATTTACTTATTAGAATTATTGTTTTTATCTTGGTTTTGTTTTTTTATTGTTTATTGAAATTTGAAAAAGTAGGCACAGACAAATGTTTATTGACTTATAATAATATAATATATGTATTTATAATTCAGATTATACCTCGGATTATACAATACATTTTGGGGGAAAAATTGGTCGGGATATCTAATAATAGATAACCAAAATTCAAATTATCTAGACACTACTGTATTTAGATTATTCTTACAAAGATTTAAGCTCCTGGAGAATAAAAATGCAACACAGTATTATTAAAAATTTGTGGTTTATGTTGAACGGGATGTCCCGGGAATAGCTTGAAGAAATTAAATTGTGGAACTCTTGTTTAATTCGAGGAAAACTTTCCTGTGAATTTATGTTCTAAATGCCCTAGCTTTTAAGATACAGGGTGTTAAAAGTATCTAAAAATTTCACTATATTTTTTGTACAAAATAAAAGAAAAATATATTGAAGAATATTATATCCCAGTACAAAATACTGTCTTAAAAATTAAGAATCTTCAAGGAAATGTTTTTTGTTTATTTTTTTTTACTATAACCTCCTAACATTTTAAGATATTTTAATGAAATTTGGCATAGGGGTTTTTGGAATATGAATATGAATATAATTTTTTTTAATTAAAACAAAAAGGTCGCTAAAAATACTTTAACCGGAGCAGTTTTGTTTTTTTCCAAAAAATGTGTTTTTTGAAATATTGAATTTATTGTAAAAAAGTATACTTGTTGCATATTGTTAAAATAAATAGTTCCTGGGGTAAATGGATTTTAATATTTTACTGCAGCATTTGGAAGAATTCTAGTCTAGTAGGGCTTCATGATTTTGCTAAATTAAATAATTTTTACGATTTACACCAACGTATCTCCATTAAAAAATGTTAGATATATCTCTGTGAATATTGTTTTGTGGTACTTCATTCAGAAGGTTGCATCACACTAGACAAAGTTTCTTGTAGTTGTAAATATTTATGTAAATTATAAAAAATGTTTAATTTAGGTGCCAATTTAAGAAAAGTTCAATGGACTAGAATACCCCCAAATTTATTGAATTAATGTATTTTAGCAATGTGCAACAAGTACCTATGTCTTTTTAAAATAAAGTGACTATCAAAAAGTATTTGCAATTTTTGGAAACCTTTGCCAATAAGAAAAACAAAAGGCTGTTTAAGGTGTTCTTAGGAATCTTTATGGTTTAGGTAAAAAATAAGCCCATATTTTTAGAATTTAAGTCCTATGTCAATATTCATTGAAATATTTCAAAAAGTGACTGAGTTGTCGTAAACAATTAACAAACATTTCTTTGATGGCCCGTAACTTTTTAAGGTAGCATTTTGGTACTTACTGAGACATATTTGGTTAGTTGCTTTGTTTTGGTCTGAGGAAGCTTTGCTAAAAAAATTTGACACGCATATGTTTCTGAAAATGTGCTACATTGTTCTGCAAGTGTTTGTTGACTTTTCCAAAGAGACTAACTTGCTGTTAATTACAGAAAAATAATATTTTATTTTGTTACTACGAGTCTTGTTCTTCTTTAATATTTGATGAACTTTTGTCTGGCTCTTCAAAGATAATTCTATACCTACCTACTTAGTTCATATTTTTTTTTGTAATTGCTGCTGTTATTATGTCTGATGTTTTATTTACTTATCAGTATAGTACCTACTTACAGCGAAGTTTAAAATACAACTAAAATATCTAATATTATCTGTAAAAACCATTTTGTTATCACAGAGTATTGTCTAAATGTTAATTTAAAAAATTGAATTAGAAGGTAAGCCATTTTATGAGTCAGATTTATGTAAGTACTTCAAACTTGATGGATATTGACAGTTTAATCTTTTAATTGTTTTGTATCACACATTTAGTCTAAATTGAAATTAATCAAGGAGCTAAAAGAAATGTTGGAAAAAATAAAAAAATGTGGTTATCATATTTAAAGATTTAAAGAACAATGAAATCAATTTTCAAAGTTGTTTTCGTTTGTGGAATCAAAGTTCAACTGATTACCTAAAATTATGTTTAAGATCGTGTTTATTGCTTCTGTTTTGATTTATTGGCTTTTTTATGTTTTTATGCTGCTTGTTTTTACTGCAATAATGGGTGAAATTTGATTTAAAATGTTCAATTTATTCTTTTCTAATAAAATTAGTACCAAATTAATTAATATTAAATAATGTCAGAAAAGCCAAAGAATAAGGGAATATATTACTTGTAGAATTTTCCAAAAATTTCCTGGTTTTTATAAAAATAGATATTTTACCTATTTAATAGTAACATACTCATTATTTCTTATTCTTAATTTTGCTGAATAATTAAATCTTTTCAAATTTCCTATTGTTAATATCGAGGTTAATATGAATATGTAAAAAACGTAGGTACTATCTATATTTACATATATTTTTTATGGTGTTTTGTGTAATGATTTATCGAGGGGGAAACCGCTGACTAAAATTTGTACACTAAAATACTCATTTTGGTAAATAATGCTCACTATTACTCAAATATTACTCACTATTGCTAGGATATTACTCATATTACTTGAA